CTAACGGGCCGCGAAGGGGGGCCTAACGGGCCGCGAAGGGGCCTAACGGGCCGCGAAGGGGCCTAACGGGCCGCGAAGGGGGCCGCTACGGGCCGCAAGGGGGCCTCTACGGGCCGTGCAGGGGGCCTAACGGGCCGCGAAGGGGTCTTACGGGGCCTTACGGGGCCGAAAAAGGGGGGGCCTTACGGGGCCTTACGGGGCCGGCGCTGGCTCTAAGGGCAGGCGCAGGGGCCACGACGGGCCTCGAAGGGAAGGCGCGACGCGCGCGTCGAGCAGGCAGTGAAAATTTCAGTGGTGGGCCCTTTGATCGAAATCGCTCCATACCATGTGAGAAGATTGACGAGAGAAATGAGTGAGAAAGGATTATTGCACTAGAAAGCATTGGGATACAAATAGAAAACCCTAACAGGGTTGTACTCACTACAGAGTACCCCACTGCAGACTAGAGAAACATAATATTCTGACATCTGCCGTGGCCGTGCGTGCTTACGAGAGAGCACATTGAGCGGCGGTGCTTGTTCGCTGAGAGACGTCTACCCCGGCTGATTGCAAGCAAAGCAGCGCCCCTTAAACGGTGCGGCAGCTGCATTCGTCGCAACAGCGTGTACGGTGGCGTGCTCGATCGGTCCCCGGTGACGATGTCCGTAGTAGGACCCCGGCCTCGGACGGCGCAAAATGTCGATTTTCTCGGCGAGTGCGAGGATCTCGTTAAAATTCGAGAGCCCGCGTAGCATGATTTCGTGTGAGATGTTTGGCTTTAGCCCTCCAGCGTAACGGTCCACCCGCTCCGCTTCATGCATGCAGCCGACTTGCTCGCATAATGCGAGAAAACTGCTCGTGTAGTCTTGAACTGATCCGAGCTGCCGCCAGGTATGTAGTCTTTGACGCGCCGAAATAGAAGCTGCGATCGGCTCAAAGCGCGCCCGAAGCCCTGTGCACCACACATCCCACGTGCTGTACTGGGCTGTCTCGCAAAATGAACTCCAGGTGACGGCTGGGCCCGTGGGCCCTTCCTCTTGCGACGGTGGCTCGTAGGCGCGTGGCGACGTCACGATGACTCGCCACCAGTCCATGGTGGGGCCCCTCAACTGCGAAACGGCGTAGCGAATCTTCTCTGCGTCCGACTCGACGTAATTCACATCGAAAAAAACGTACATCTTGAAGACCCACGATTGAACCGTCGGACCTCCACGTTGGCTTGGATTGAAACAGGGCGGCCGCTGCGGCTTGAGTGGCATTGGTGCCATGGTGTCGTGGTTGCCGCTTGTTGCTGCAAACTCCACGTGCCGACGAGCTTCGCGAGGCTCACGCGGGCTTGATGCGGCCCTATTTCTCTCCATGCCAGGCATTGAGTGAGCGGCGCCATCGCTGGCTACGCCTGAGCGTTATCCCACGCTGCTGTTCTCTGTCGGTGTGCCTGATGAGATGACGATCGGCTCCTCCGATTGTGAAGGTGCTTTTGTTGGTGCTGGTGCATTCACCGTCGATTGCTGGCGAGCGAAGTCGCGTTCCGCCGTGAGTGTCGCAATTTCGAGTGCCGAATCTTCGAGTTGGCACACGAGACGGTCGAACTGCTCTTGCGTCAGTGTCGCGAGATTAATTTCAGTCATGGCGGGGGTGTCGGCCAAGCTCAGCGAGAGCCTCTGCTGTGGCCGTGCGTGCTTACGAGAGAGCACTTCGAGCGGCGGTGCTTGTTCGCTGAGCGACGTCTACCCCTCCCCCCCCCCCCCTCCCCCCCCCCAAAATTTTGAGATAGCGGGGAAGCGAAGGTGTGGGTGCAGTCCGAGAGGAGATCGTAGGCTCTGAATACCAAGTGTTGCGAGTGCAATTGAGTGTGCGAGAATTGCACTATCGAAGCAAGAGTACAATGAGAGAAGGTATGAACGAAGAAAATATAGCGAAACTACAGTGGTAACGGTAATGTGTGGAAAATGGGGTGCGTTACGGGCCTAGTGCCGAGGTTGGGAGTTGTCGAGGCGGAGGTCCGGAGCGCGGGTAACCAACCGAACCGTGAGGTTGGGTCGCGTCGTGAACAACGGTGGGAACAGAGTCGAGGCGAGTGTCGCGAGTGGTAACGGGTTATTGTTGGGTGCTGTTGGCGGGAAACAGTGGTGTACGCACTGAGTAGGGACGCGAAGTAAGGAAAAATATTTTTCCTTAGAAGTATATTACATCGATGTTGTGCACACAAGTCTAGTTTCACTCTGCGATAGCCTCCTCTCTATCCGCCTTCTAGCAGCCCACACAAACACAGGCGGGGCCGTAGACATTATCTTACACACTGGAGACACAACAGTGGTGCTACCAGCGCTACCGCCACTTGCCACACAGCCACATTCTCTGCTGAAAAAGCAGCTGCTCTCCTCCCTATTCAATTTCCCAAGGTCACAACTGCTCCGTCCTCTCCTGACGGGTTCCTTGTCTTCCCTTCTTGATTCTGCTGAGCTCTGGAGCGACGTAACGGAAAACCCTCGCCTGTGCGCGATATTCCCCTGCTTTTGCAGGCCCTGGTTCTTCTTGCTTGCGCTTTCCCCCACCACATCACCATGAACTCCAGAATGGGAGTCTGACTCGAAACACCTCGCGGCTGCCTCGTCAGCTGCATCGTTCGGTGTGTCACACGTGGCAGTCCAACAGGAGGCCGCATTTCCCCCCTTCAAGCGGCGATTTGTCTCCTGCAGTTCTGATTGACTTCTCTGGTGCGACGTAACAGAATCAAACACTTCGAGAGCACGAGCAGGATCAGCGGCCGGAGAGGGTTCTGAAGGTGTAACACATTGATCCAGTGGGGAGGAGGGAGACCAAGGATCCCTGCCAGCAGATGCTAAGTCAGGGAGTGACCCTCTGCGGGGGATGTAGTGAGGGCGATTGGAGTCGGTGCTGCTTGGTGCTGCGGGAACCCGGCCCGATATCTTGGGGTGATTCTTGAGATCGGATGACGGCTGAAGAGCGGGATTGAGCGAGCTTGTAGCGCGATTCCACGCCTCCAGGCGGCGATTCACGTTGGAGAACCGGGATCTCTCCGAAATTACAGCACCGACAAATCCCGAATGATGCATGGTGGTTCCGCTGGGCACAACGTGTAGTAGCAACCTCGTCGGCAAAAAAATATTAACTATGGGCTTCGCAAAGCGCTGGATCCCTCAATGGGGGATTTCGAGAACGCCGGATGACAGAATCCGTCGTGAGACAGCAGCAGAAGCAGTATAAACTCTGAGGTATTCGCAGGTAGTAGTTTCTGGTGCAAACCAAAGAGACTCTCCCTGCTTCTGAAATACTGAGGTCTAAATCGTAGTCTGGGCTACAATAAGCGGGGCTCGAGGGAGCTTATGATGTTTTGGACGCCGCTTTGTTCGTAATCCGATAAGTTCTCAGTACCTGGATTGGACATGCGGAAGCTACGTCAGGCTCACAGTTGCCGCACTAGCGTACTACAGTACTCACAGCTTGCCAAGTCGTACACGCCGCCATGATGTTTTTGGCTAAACGAAACTGGAAGCTTTCTCAATGATTCCTCGAGTGTACAATGATCACTCCTGCCTGTCCCCACGCACGCGCAAGCTTACCTCAAGTTCCCACAAGGCCTTGAAGGAGTCTCTCATACATTTCGATCAAATAGACAGGATGCTCCCAATAATTCCAGATTACCACTCAACCTTTGCTCGAAGTGGAGCATATCGTCTGTCCTGATTCTCCTGCCCCACCACCTGACGGTGCAGCTTGAGGGATAATCAGATTAGATACAAATGCCAATGGTAAATCCATAACCTGCTGCGGCGTGAAAACACGCATGTACCGCCTACGACCTTCCTTCCACGCTTGGCTCCTCAGCTAGTGCGGGGCCATCCTGGGCAGCCCAGTTCAGATCGCCATGGCCATCCAAATCTGCGTGTCGTCTAGTTAATCTGTACCGTAGTTAATCTGAGCGTAGTGTGTTAGGGGTGTATCAACATGCTGCAGATGAATCAGCAGTCTCAACAAACCAGTAGGGTGTTGGCTGCAGTGCTGGCTTGCTGAATTTTCAAGCATTCTAGCAAGCACATGGGGATTTAGGGTCAGACGAAAGTGAAGCCAGAGTGAAGAATAGACATGTGAAGAACAGAAAGGTGTGGTTCTGCCACAGAACATAGGAAATGTAGGACAATGGTTTGGAAAACGAGAATTTTGAAGTGGTGGCTGCTGGGCATGGGAAAACTGGTGAGAGAAATAGCCATACAAGCCCCACCCTACCCGACCCGACCCTTCTTCCCTCGTTCGTTACTTTCTACAGCCCCCAGCAATGCGTTCTGTCTCCCATTTCTCCCATATTCGTGGACGACGTGAAGCGAAACGGATCGCATTTGTCTCCCCACCACGGAACTGAGTGGGAAAACATATTTTGTAACATTCTGCTGCAGTTGCGATTGGGACAGCCTTCGACTGAGCAAGCAGCAACTTGTTTGGCAGCACTTGACCGTGCCCCAGTCGACAGCTGGCCTTCCGAATGAGCGGCAGCCACCTGGAGCCAGCTAGACTCTTCTGAGAATCTAATCCATCAAGATCAGGCCCATGGTGGTGGTGAGGTTGGGGTAGTGGGGCTGTTCCTGGTACAGGTGGACTCCTCGACGCGCTACACGAACTAATTCATAACTACACTAGAAGTACAAACTACTGATTTTAGCTAGTGCACAACAATCTATGGGAAATGCTGATTTTTTTGGACGTACCAAAGGGTGGTGCAACAAATTCCCTGATCACTAGCACAGATTCAATCTAGTAGCTATACAAATTGTGGAAAACATGTTCACAACATAGTCTTGACCAACAGAGCAGCACCAACTGAGAAGTGGGGAACATGTGTATGGCTCATGTATTGTTGCAATACCATATGCTATCAGTCCCATCATGCTTCGGGAATGGGTACGCGCACATATGCGAGAACCTGGCCAATAGTGAAGCACCAACTCTCAACAACAATAGCTGCCAATGCCATATGCTATCAGTCCCATCATGCTTCAGCAATGGGCATGCGCACATGTGCGAGAACCGTGGCCAACAGCGAAGCATCAACGGAGAACCGGGTAGCTAAGGAGTCAACCCCGGCAATTACAGGGGTAGATGCGCTGCTGCCCCTGCCCCTGCTGCTGCTGCTGTCCCCACTGCCCTGTCCATGAAAAGAGAGCAATTCCTTCAGCTGAGCCAAAGTAATTCGCCCTGACAAAGTCCTGTCGCATTGAGCGTCCCCCCTGGTCTGCAGGCGGGTAGTGAGACGGAGCGGAGTGTGGTGGAGAGGAGTGCGAGGGAAGGGAGTGTGAGGGAAGGTAGTGCGAGAGAAGGGAGTGCGAGGGAAGGGAGTGTGCGGGAGGGGAAAGCGAGGGAAGGGAATGTGAGGGAAGAGAGTGTGAGGGAAGAGAGTGTGAGGGAAGGGAGTGTGAGGGAAGGGAGTGTGAGGGAAAGGAGTGTGAGGGAAAGGAGTGTGAGGGAAAGAGATTCGGCTTGATGGTGACTTGTCACCTTGAGCGTCCTGCATAGTCTGCAGGAGGGGGGTGCAGCGAAGACTAGTGTGGAAGAGGGGAGTGAGGAGACGAGAAGTGTGGAGGGGAGTGCACGGGAGAGAGGAGAGCACCAGCATGGGGATAATCAAAGAGTGATTTTTCTCCACCTGCTCCAGCTGCTGCTGCTGCAGTGTACTGGAATGCGAAACAAGACAGGATATGGAATTCGCAGGCACAGGGCGTGTGGGAGCCCACAAGGCGTTACAATATACGGGGAGAGAGAAACGTTTTTTAGTCGGCTATTTTTTTTTTTTTACGACAGCTGACACGGGGGGAGAGAAACGTTTTTTAGTCGACTAGAAAAGAAGCGTTATAATAGCTGACAAGGGGAGAGAGGAACGATTTTGAGTCGGCTGAAAAACAGGCGTTACAACAGCTGACAAGGGGAGAGAGAAACAGTCGGAGTGCAACGAGATAGGAGGTCAGGAAGGGTGAAACCGGCTGTCGCAAGTCACTTTTGAGTCGACTCAAAAGTCAACCGGCTGTCGGCAATTCAGGAAGAGGGTGCGGAGGCGAGAATAGGGGAGAGGAGAGGAACGAAATAGCACCTTCAAGGCTCAAAGAACCTTCAACGCTCAAAGAACCGTCAACGCTCAAAGAACCTTCAACGCTCAAAGAACCTTCAATGCTCAAAGAACCTTCAACGCTCAAAGAACCTTCAACGCTCAAAGAACCTTCAACACTCAAAGAACCTTCAACGAGGGACGTCTCAAGCTCAACTGCACACCCAGGGTGCAGGTCTCAACCCAGCCCACCTGCCATATACCCACTTTTGAGGCGCCACAAAAGGTGCAGGTCTCAACCCAGCCCACCTGCCCTCTACCCACTGTGTCAATCTGGTGCTCCCTTATCGCCCCGAGCACCTCGTGAATTCGCCCCTTTCTCCTGCACGAATCCCCTCTTCAACCCACCTGCACCCATTAGCACCCACCTGCTCTCGCCCCACAGTGTCGATTCGGTGCTCTCTTATCGCCCCAAACACCTCCTTCATTTGCCCTGGATCCCACGCCCATGCCCCTTCAACCGATCTGCACCAATCTGCACCCACGTGCACCCACCTACCTCATATTCAATCGCAACCCACCTGCCCTCGCCCCACAGTGTCGATTCGGTGCTCCCTGATCGCCCCAAACACCTCCTGCATTCGCCCTTGGTCCCGCGCCCATGCCCCTTCGTCCCCCTCCCCTGCTGCCCTCCCCCCCTGTGCAGGTACAGGATCGCCTGGCTCAATGATGGGCACTGGGAGGGGGGGGGGGGCGGGGCCGGGGGAAGTAAGGGGAGGGGGAAGTTAGGGGAGGGGGAAGCGGGAGGGGGAAGAAAAGGGGGTTGGCAAAGTGTTGAGATGTCTCAAGATGACTTTTGAGTCGACTCAAAAGGGGAGTTGACAAAGTGTTGAGGCGTCTCAAAGGCCTCCCCAATTACCTCCTGCAGTCGCCCCTGCTGCCCTTCCCCTCTGTCCGGGTACAGGATCGCCTGGCTCAATGATGGGCAATGGGGGAAAGGAGGGGGGGCGAGAGGAGGGGGAGGGGAGGGGGAGGGGAGGGGAGGGGAGACAGAGTGACAAGGGAAGGAGGAGACTAGTGCGTGCATGCCCATGCCCCCAAACCCCCCTCCCTGCTGTCGCCTGCTTCTGGCACCCCGTGACCTCCCCGGTGTCTGGGAGGGGCGGGCAGAGTTAGGGGCAGAGAGTGATGCCCAGGGGGAGGAAATGGCAGTTGAGGAAGAGGAAGAAGAAGGAGAGGCTACGGAAGCGGAAGCGGACGAGGGTGAGTCGACTCAAAAGTCATCTTGGTACTACGGGCCCCCCACGCTCCTGACAGGGAGGTTACTGGGCTTTGGCACGTGTCAATTCTCGTCGAATTTGGAATTTTGGAGGGAGTAGAGTAGAGGGTGCCGACTGGGTAAAGGGGAAGGGTGAGGGAAGGAAGAGGGTGGGCGGGCGGCGAAGGGGAAAGTAACAGAGACTTTTGAGGCGCCTTCGGAAGGGGTGAGGGGAGGGGGAAGAAAGGGGGAGGAAAGAAGTAGGGCGATTTTGTCGCGAAACCTCGCCGCGCCGAATCCGAGGACAGCTTAAGTGAAATGCGGCGGGTTTTGAGGCACCTAAGAAACAGCAAGTATTCGATAACCTGATACACATGTTTATACTGCCTGCTATCTCTGAACGTACTGGCTTCTGGCGGCGGTGGGCGCGACGGATAGTCCGACGACGGCCGCGGAGGTCCCGCCGATCCCGCTGGACCCGCGGAGAATTGACGAGTCAAAGACGCGACTGGCGACCCCTGCCGCGTCGCGGAAACCCGAGAGATTGAAGCGGCGGGCGAAGCGGCCGAAGAGGCGGTAACGGCGGTAAGAGAACAGCCAGTTAAGACGGCGTGGAAGGAGGGTTCGCAGAACGGAGCGGAGGACTCACTCAGCCCCGTTTTTTGGAATGACTCCCGAATCGTCGAATCACTAAAATTAGTACGGATCGCGCGGGAGCGGCGTACTGCGCCTCGCAGGCGGGAGTTCCCCGCGAGGGGAAGGTTTGGAAGGGCGACTGTCGACAGTCGCCTTCCGCCAGCGCGGGACGCCATGAGTCAGTGTGGCCGTGGCAGTTTCGGCGTTCCTGCGGGTCGCTGCTAATGCCGCAAAGAGCGCAATGTGCGGAGAGCGGTCAAATGCGAGTTTATGAGTTGATGTGACAATGGGATTGTGGGCGGGGCAAATTGGAAATAGATTCGAAATGGAGCACTCAACACGGACGACAGCTTAGGCTGGCACGAAAATAGATGCAATTGCAAGTTATTCGCCAATCTCGCTTCGTTTCGTTTTGAACCGAACCAAAACCAGGGACTTTGGTAACACTTGTGTGGAGGTTCTCAGAATATTTTGACGCCCCCGATTGGTTCTGACGTTGGTTTCTCGAGTGCGCAGGCCAATAGTTTTACCCGCCCAACCTGTCATCCCATACCGCCAACCACCCCAAACCGCGTACTATTCTCCTCTACCTCTCTCTTATCCCTCCCAACCTCCTCCAAATACTTCCACCCCAAACCCCCTTCCAACTTTCCTTTCAAACTTCTCCACCATTCCCCCCACACCGGTTCCCCCCTTCCCCCTTACCTTCTTCTCCCCTTTCCCCCGATCTTCTCCCCCCCTTTCCCCCGATCTTCTCCCCCCCTTTCCCCCGAACTTCTCCCCCCCTTTCCCCCGATCTTCTCCCCCCCTTTCCCCCAACTTCCAGTCTGCGCGCAGAGTGCCGAGCGTGGCGGAGTTCCTGTGATTCAGTTTTGTCCTGCTAGCAACCTTTCTTTGCAGAGAGGCCATTCATTCCTTGCCAGAGAGCCTGCTCGAGAGCCTGTAACCCTAAGTTCCTGCCAGATTTCATAGCTTCCAGAATCACGCTTAGAGCGCTTCTCGCGTCCCGAGCACCTCATCATGACTGTCGCGCCCTTTAGGAAGGTCGGCCCGCCGATCTTCTCGGCTCTCGCGCTGTCCTACGGCATCTGGCTTGCCGCTCGCGCGCAGCCGTTCGGCGGAGAGACTCCGCGGACCATGACGCGGGAGTGGATCCAAGCCAGCGACAAGCTGCTTGACGCGTGGCCGCGGGAGGCGGGTTCTCCAGTCGTCATGAATCCCATCTCCAGGCAGAATGCTATCAAGAACTGAAGAAGCGGATTTCACGGGATGCTTGGCTTCGTGTCTTGCTGATCGACGGTAGCGGCTGGTCGTTCGGCTTTCTGAGGTTCCGTCGTACCGTTGTGTAGTTGTAAATGGTTATAAACTTTCTCCACCTGTTCTGCGATTTCGAGGCAGCATTGTTTCTTCATTAAGGCACTTTGACCTGGAATTGTTTGACGGCTGGCCTGACATCCCCTTTGTCGAGCATGATCTCATCTCATGGACATTACTTTTCCTTCTTGCTGGTGCATCAATGTCGGTGTACGTGAATGAGCCTACCATATTGGGCTCATTCCAGATTGACTTGCTCACAGAATGCAGCGTCCTTTTTAGGCACTCAATGCTCCAATCCTGCCAGCTGCATGAATAATGTATTTCAAATTGATATGCACTCCTGGAGTGTCCATGTCTGTCAGCTGTGTTGAGTGTCAAAGCTTCGCCTTTCTGGTGGGTTCACTGAGAGCGTGCAAGCACAGACAACTGCTTTCTGATTACTCATGGGCATTAGAAAGGCCGAGTTGGATCTAAAGGGTATTTGAGTTGTTTGCAACATTCGGTACCTAAATCCATTAAAACCGAAATATAAAATAGTGAAGGCGGATCCAACTTGAAATCGTGCTCGGAAGAAGCAAAACTGGAACGACGATGGGCTGTGTAAAACACTGTTCCGGGCATCGCCCTTCCACAGACTGAACACACGTGATTCGTTCCCGCCAAAAAAAAAAAATCAGATCCTGCTCGCGCGTTCGCATTTTCTGCATGCGACATTTGCACGACAGTTGTTTGTCGTGCGTTTTGATGGTTGGACCCGACTTCGACTTTCAAGCTGGGCCTGGGTTCCACATATGCTTACTTCAACTCCATTCACGTAGCTTGCCTAACTCACGGAGCTTGCCTAGCATAGAATAGCCAGAGACGAGGGATTAGGCTGATGCGGCATAGAAATGAAATTATCATTAGATTGTTTGTGATAATTCGTCGCCGTTGCTGCGTAGTGATATTTTCCTCGCGATCACAGAGAACCCCATTCCCGTCGCCATTCCTCTCACCCCTCTCATCGCCCACTATGCTATCCTCGAGTTCGCCAAATCGCCCACCCGTCTCCCTTTCCGTCGCGCGTCACGTCGCCATCTCGTCGCCCGTCCCGTCGCCCTCTTCGTCGCCCTCTCTCCCCTCCTCTCCTCCCGTCGGCCTCTCTCTCGCCCCTCCCTACCGATCGCCCTCCCGTCGCTCGCCCCGTCGCGCTCTCTCTCTCCGCTCCCTTCCCGTCGCCCTCTCTCTCGCCCCTCCCTTCCCGTCGCGCTCTCTCTCTCCGCGCCCTTCCCGTCGCCCTCTCTCTCGCCCCTCCCTTCCCATCGCTCTCTCTCTCTCCGTTCCGCCCTCTCTCTCGCTCCTCCTTCGAATCGCGCTCTCTCTCCGCTCCCTTCCCGTCGCGCTCTCTCTCTCCGCTCCCTTCCCGTCGCCCTCTCTCTCGCCCCTCCCTTCCCGTCGCGCTCTCTCTCTCCGCTCCCTTCCCGTCGCCCTCTCTCTCGCCCCTCCCTTCCCGTCGCGCTCTCTCTCTCCGCTCCCTTCCCATCGCCCTCTCTCTCGCCCCTCCCTTCCCGTCGCGATCTCTCTCTCCGCTCCCTTCCCGTCGCCCTCTCTCTCGCCCCTCCTACCCGTCGCGCTCTCTCTCTCCGCGCCCTTCCCGTCGCCCTCTCTCTCGCCCCTCCCTTCCCATCGCGTTCTCTCTCTCCGCTCCGCCCTCTCTCTCGCTCCTCCCTTCGAATCGCGCTCTCTCTCCGCTCCCTTCCCGTCGCGCTCTCTCTCTCCGCTCCCTTCCCATTGCCCTCTCTCTTTCTGCTCCCTTCCCATCCTCCCTTCTCGCTCGCCTCGAATAGCCCTCCCGGCGACCTTCGACTCTCCCATCACGTATGCCCTCCTTTCTCCGTCGCCTCTCTCGTTCTCCCTCTGCTATCGCGTCAGCGTGACCCTTTCCGTACTCTGTTATTGTGTTTGGTTTGTTTGTTTTTTCTGTCTTTCCATCTATTCTCGACACCCTCTCTCCCGCCGCCTATCCTCTCTCCCGTCGCCCTCCCGTTTCCCGTCGCCCTCCCGTTTCCCGCCCCCCTCCCGTTTCCCGTCGCCCTCCCTTTTCCCGTCGCCCTCCCGTTTCCCGTCGCCCTCGCGTTTCCCGTCGCCCTCCGGTTTCCCGTCGCCCTCCCGTTTCCCGTCGCCCTCCCTTCTTCCGTCACCCTCCCTTTTCCCGTCGCCCTCGCGTTTCCCGCCCTCCCGTTTCCCGTCGCCCTCCCGTTTTCCGTCGCCCTCCCGTTTCCCGTCGCCCTCCCGTTTCCCGTCGCCCTCGCGTTTCCCGTCGCCCTCCCGTTTCCCGTCGCCCTCCCGTTTCCCGTCGCCCCCCTTCTTCCGTCGCCCTCCCGTTTCCTACGCCCTCCCTTCCCGTCGCCCTCCCGTTTCCTGTCGCCCTCCCTCTTTCCCTTCATTCGCGTCACCTTGCCCATCATAATTTCCCCCCTAGTGCTGTTTTTCTCTTCTGTTTCCCGTTATTGCACCTCTCCCAGGCCTCAAGTCCAAGGCAGCACATTGATCAGAGCTCTACTAGCTCTAATAACTTTCAAACACTTTCACTCTCATCACGTACATGTGTGTCTGCTTGGGATTTAGCGTGAGATGTTGCTAGTTGTGAATTTGGTGAAGTATTGGCTCTAGTGAATGCAGGAGTGCTCGTCGCTCAACTTTGCGCCAAATTCGCACATGTACGTGTGAGAGAACTTGGCTGCCAATCAGAATTGACAATGAACTATCGTTCCTGGTCCAATAAGAAACTCGTCCGAGGGTCGGAAAAAAAAGCACACATACAGCAATTCCAACATTCCAAAACAAAACAAAAATACTTCATCTTCAAGTGGACCCAACTAGAAGGGGGGGGTCACTATTTTGCCTGCTGGCTTTAACGCTCTATACAACACAACATGCTATTGCAAGTATCGTGCTCCTACGGAGCAAAAGAATCGCGTTATTGCCAATATCCGAGAATGCGTTATCGTGTTCCTCAACAATTCAAACTCGGAAACTCCCCCGCCCTCACTGCGGCAGCAGATGACAATTTCAGCTGAATAGCCAGCTGAAACACACCAAACCGCTCTCAACCTAGCGTAGTGTTTGAAACTTCAGCTTCATCCCTTGGTATTGTCGCGTCACCTTCACTCTTTCCAATTCTGCTGGTACCAACTCTCACTCTTCTCGCTATCTCTTGATAACTCAGCCAGCCAGAACCTCCTCGGTTATGCTTGCGAGTAGACCCAGTGTAGGTTCCATCGCGGTTCCATACAGTGATTTGGCTTGTAGAGCAATTGAGTTTATATCGAGCGGAAACCAACTTTCGGGATGCGCCCTTACTGCGTTCGTCACTGTCTTTCATAGCACCCGCTACGCCATGGTCTCGCCTCGCTTCTTCTCGATATCCTCTGCTTAGCCCTTCTCAAGTTACCCGTTTTTTTCGCCAGTAAAATCGGCCAACTCGGTAGTGCCAGCTGACATTGCCTTCAGTCCGCCATGGCCCGGACTGTCGCTCGATCCGTCGGAAAGTCGACCGCCATGGAGTGGAAAACGCGTAAGCCGAGGCAAAAGCGTGCGAGGAAGAGTTGTAACTCTCAAGAGATCGCCTCGTCGCCGGCAACGCCTGTTTCTCCTGACGGCCGTTTAGACGTCTCGCTAACCCCGTCAGCAAACGGCGATGCGGAGTTAAATTCGTCTAGACGCGAAGAGAATTTTGCCGAGGAGGGATCGCCGCCCCGCCTTGTGACTTCCCACAACCCTGCACTTAGGAGGAGGGACCAGTGCAAGAGTCCGAGCAGTCGAAAGGTTGAGGCTACTAATTCTCCTGTTCTTTCGACATCATTATCAAGCCATGTTCCTGTATCGCAAGGTGACAACACTCCGAGACGGAGACCGCGCACCGTGGGTGATTTGAGACGGATGCGACAACTCTCTTCATCCCCGTTATTGCCTTCTCCGGGGTCATCTTCACCAGCAGCAGCTGCAGCAGCAACCACACTTACACCGGAGATTGAAAGAACACCAGGAGGGCTGCCATCTCTGGTTCAAACACCAGCAGCTAGGGTTTCACTTGGTCGGCCATCCCCGATGGCGATGGCTGTTGTGCGTCTGGCGCCTGGAATCATCTCTGAGTCGTCTCAGGCCGCTGCTGTGCGTGATCCTCCTGAGGCAGGCAGTGGTGGCAGAAACGTGCAAGTTCCAGACAGTGACGAGGATGCTATTAGCGAGGATATTGGCGGTGGCATTCGAGGTGCTTCGGTTTGCAACGGTACTAGCGGTTCTATTCGTGGTGAGAAGGGAGGAGTAGGGAGTCAGTACGGTGGCTGTGATAGAGGTGAAGGGGAGGGTGGAGGCGACTGTGACAGTAAAGAGGGTGGAGACGAGGGTTGTGACAGTAAGGAGGTTGGAGGCGAGGGTTGTGATAGTAAGGAGGGTGGAGGCGAGGGTTGTGACGGTAAGGAGAGTGCGGATATGAGGGCATTTTTGGACGGTTTCAATCTGAGCGGTGAAGCAGAATCAGCGTGGCAACTGGAAAGTAGTCCTGCAAAAGTGGAGGCAGCAAAGTCAACTGACGGACCTCCTGCAACTGACGGACCTCCAGCAACTGACGGACCTCCAGCAACTGAATTGCCCCTGGCAGTAACTCCTGCTGCTGAAGCTCCCAGCAACTCTCAGCCTCCTGACACCCGTCTGACAAAGATGAATAAAAGGCGGAGGGGCAATTCTGGGAAAATTGAAAAGAGCACGGTGGAGATTGAAGGGACAGAGGGCAGCACCCGTCGTGAAAGGGAGAGGACGGTGGATGTAGAATTGACAGAGGGCAGCACACGTGGTGTATCAGAAGCAGTGCGAAGCAGAAACGAATGCAGGGAAAGTCCTCAGCAGAAGCGTCGCAAGGGTGGGAGAGCAAGTGGCTGTGTCGCTGCTTTGCCTGTTGCAGGAGGTGCAGCGGAAGCAGCAGTGACCAGAAAAACCGCAGTCAGGGAAAGCCCTCAGGCCGAGCGTCGCAAGGGTGCGAGAGCGAGTGGTTTTGGCGCTGCTCGTGTAGAGGTAGCAGCAAGGCCACTTTCACCCCAAGCAACAGGTGTTGCAGGAGGTGCAGCAGCAGAAGCAGCAGCAGCAGCAGCAGAAGACACGGTAGGAGGCAATACGCCTAAAAGCAGCAGTAAAACGCGTCAAGGCAGCAGTACACTCAAAGGCAGATCGCAAAAAGGCACAACTCCCAAAGGATACTCCCCCTTGGCCCTAGTCAAGGGCAGCCCTCGTTGCACACCTTCGTTTCAGTCACCACCCTTTCAATCACCACCCCTTCCATTGTCACCCCTGCCACTGTCACTCCCGGCTACCCGTTCTGACTCCACTCACATGCGTTGGGTGGTGGATTGCATTCGGTGTGTTTGGGGAAGGAGGGAGAGGAGGAGCGGATGGTTGTGGTGTATGAAGCAACGAACACTGGGAGGAGTGGTGTGGAAGGCTGTGACGCGAGACAGAGTGATTTGGCAGGGAGCGGTGTGGCAGGGAAAAGGCCACGCGATGCAGCAGGAAATACGGCAGGAAATGCGGCCGGAAATGCGGGAAGAAATGCGGCTGGAAATGCAGGAAGAAAAGCGCTAGGAACGCTCCAAGAAGCAGCAGGGCATGGGACTCCGTGGTTCGGGCTGGTATGCAGCTTTGGTGTGAAGGTCGACCTTGAAGAGGCACGGAGGGAGGTGAGTGGGAAGAGTTGACTCTTGAGTCGACTCCTTGGGAATGCAACCCTTGCACCCTTCAACCCCCATTCGCCCCACCCCCAAACTCCCCCTCTCTTTCTCTCTCTTCACACCACCCTCTGGCAGGTAATCCCGAGCGCCAAGCCATAGCCTTCTCTCCCCGTGGCTCCTGCCTGCCCTACCTCGCTAACCACCCCTCCCCCTGATCGCCTCTCTCCACCCCCTTCACACCACCCTCTGGCAGGTGTTTCCCAAACGTCAAGCCATAAAATTCATACCCTATGGTACCTGCCTCTACCTCGCTTCTTCACTAACCCACCGCTGCACCCGTACTCTCCACCTGTCCCCGTGCTTCAAACCTTTCCCTTTCTTGCAGGTGTTCCCCGAGCGTCAAGCCATGGCCTTCTCTCCCTGTGGCACCTGCCTCTACCTCGCTAACCACCCCTCCCCACTGCCCCCTTCTCCCTGCCCCCATCTCCCCACCCCCTTCGCACCACCCTTGCAGGTGTTCCCCGAGCGCCAGGCCATGGACTTCTCACCCTGCGGCTCTTGCCTCTACCTCGCTAACTACTTCACCCTCCCCCCCGCCCCCCTCTCCCCGCCATCACTCTCTAACAGGTGTTCCCCGAGCGTCAAGCCATGGCCTTCTCGCCCTGTGCCACCAGCCTCTACCTCGCTAGCTGCTTCACCCTCTGCCAGCCGTTCGAGCTTATAACGAAGCCTACTGAACCACCTGCATTCAGTGGCAATAGCAGCAGCAGTAGAAGCAGTAGCAGGAGAAACAGCAGCAGCCGCAGCAGGAGCCGCAGCAGCAGCAGCAGCAGCAGTGGCAGGAGGAGAAGTGCTTCTGGTGGTGTGACAGAAGTCGAGTTGAGCTTGGATATGGAAGCATCAAGAAAAAGGGGATTTCAGTCCAATCTTCTGGAATTCCCTGCAGCATTCACCAGCATCTCGACCACTGCTTCCCTCCGTTCGTCTCCTGCTCTATCTGCCTGCGTCCCACCGTTCCGCTCCCTCTCAAGCCTCTCACGCTCACCTGCTGTTCTGAAGCTCCCACAGATGTGGGCTGTAGTAGTGGTGAGGAGGGGGAGGAATGAGGATGGGAGGGGTGTGGGAGAGGAGACGAGTGGGGGAAAGGAGATGGGGACGGGTGCGGGAGAGAAGGGCAGGGAGGGAGGGGGTATGGAGGGTGGAGGCACGGAGGGAGGAGGGAGGGAAGGAGGAGGCATGGAGGGAGGAGGGGGGTGGGTGGTGGTGGCAGCAGGGGATGGTGGTGCTGCGTGCTGCTGGGTGATGGACAGGCATGGAAGGTGAGAGGATGTGAGGGTAAGTGAGAGGATGTGAGGGTAAGTGAGAGGATGTGAGGGTAAGTGAGAGGATGTGAGGGTAAGTGAGAGGAGAGGGGAGGTGAACCCGTCACACACACTCGTCCCCCATTGTACTGTACATTTAGCTGTATTGGCTGTTACACTAAACTGTGTGCTTTGTCTCTCCCCACACCTTGTGTGACACGTCGCCCCTGGCCTGGTACCACCTCCACCCGGCCTGCTACAGGAGCCACCCCTTCCACCGAGTCATCTCCCTGGCTGTTTCCTCCCCACACCCATTCCCCAATGTACCCTACATTTCGATGTGTTGTGTGCAATAATTATAAGTTGTGTGCTTTGTTGTGACTCCCTTCTGTTGTGCCACAGGTCACCCCTGGCCTGGTACCACCTCCCCCCGGCCTGCTACAGAACCCACCCCTTCCACCGAGTCATCTCCCTGGCTGCTGTGCCCCAACACACACTCGTTCCCCACACCCTGCCTGTGTGTATCACCTGTCACAGGTCACCCCTCGCCAGATACCACCTCCCCCCGGCCTGCTACAGAGCCCATCCGTTCCACCGAGTCATCTCGCTGGCTGCTGTGCCCCACCGACCTGGATGGCTGCTGGGCTGCTCCCACGGTGGCTCTGTTGCCCTCTGGTGAGTCAAAAGGGGTCAGCACGAGTCAACATAAATCAACAGGAGTCAACAGGAGTCAATGCGGTCAAGCCTACCCCTTCCACTGAGTCATCTCCCTGGCCGCTGAGCCCTGCCTGCTGGCGTGGATGGGTGCTGAGGTGCTCGCATGGAAGCTCAGTTGCCCCCTGGTAAGGAAACACAAGTAATCACCAGTCAACACGAGTCAACACGAGTCAACACGAGTCAACACGGGTCAATGCAATCAAACCCACCTCTTCCGCCCAGTCATCTCCCTGGCTGCTGTGCCCCAGGCCCCCACCGGCCTGGATGGGTGCGGGGGTGCTCCCACGGCGGCTCTGGTGCCCTCTGGTGAGTCAACACGAGTCAATAGATTTAAGCAGGTCAACGGAGTCAAGCCCACCCCTTCCACCGAGTCACCTCCCTGGCTGCTGTGCCCCACCTGCCTGGATGGGTGCTGGGCTGCTCCCAGGTGAGTCAACGTGAGTCAACACAAGTCAACACGAGTCAACACGAGTCTAACAAGGGTGTGCATGACCCCATGGGTGTATGCAGGTTTCTCTCACACCCTTATGCACACACCTTTTATCCCCATGTGCACACACTCACACACACCCTACACTTCCTTACGAGTCCCACCCGTCACTCCCACGCCCATCCACTCTCACCCCCATCCACACTCCTCTCCTCAACCCCTTCCTTCGCACACAGGGATGTGGATCGCCGTGTACTGCTGACTGCATGGCACAGCCTCACACACTCCATTCTCACAAGCCACCTAAGCTACACACACCCAGGCCCCACCCACCCTCACTTCTATCTACCCCCCATCATCCCCACACAGGGATGTGGATCGTCGTGTGCTGTTGACTGCATGGCACAGCCTCACACACTCCATTCTCACAAGTCACCTGTACCACTCACACCCACATACCACCTACACACCTCTCCTTGCCCCTCTCATTTGCACACAGGGATGTGGATCACCGTGTGCTGCTGACTGCATGGCACAGCCTCACACACTCCATTCTCAACCTGCACGTCTGCTCACTCCCCCCTGCCCCTGCTGCTGCTGGTTCTGCTGGTGGTGGTGCTGCTGCTGCTGCTGCTGGTTCTACCAGTGGTGGTGCTGCTGCTGGTTCTACCAGTGGTGCTGCTGGTTCTGCTGCTGCTGCTGCTCGTGTTGAAAATTCTGAAGGCTTGGGGAAGCAAGCAGAGAAGGAAGGGATGGGGGGAATAGATGGGCTGGAGCTGCTGCTGTTGCTGGCAACAGGGGAAAGGGCGGACAGCAGGCAAAACGACGCAAATGAGCAACAAAACATGTTGCCTGAAGAAGAGTGCAAGATCACAGTATCAACAGCGAGTGTGGGGGCCAATCAGCAGAGGGTGGTGGTGCGGGCACCACAGCCACAGCCACAGTCAGGCGGACACAGGCTGGCGTTTCTGAGCGCCAAAGGGATGGTGGTGGGGAGGAGCATAGCGGACAGGTGAGCTGACGTACTTGGCATGGGTGCAATGCGGTATCAAGGTGTGGTGTGCAGTACGGTCTGGTGGCGTTACTTAGATAGGTGTTGTGCAGTATTGTCTGGGGTCAGTACGGTTGGTGGTGTTGTGCCGGGTGCCACAGCCACAGGCAGGCGGACACCGGCTGGCGTTTCTGAGCGCCAAAGGGATGGTGGTGGGGCGGAGCATAGCAGACAGGTGAGCACTGAGCTGCTTCGCATGGGTGGGATGCGGGCACCACAGCCGTGGTGGTGGTGCGGGCACCACAGCCACAGCCACAGTCAGGCGCACACAGGCTGGCGTTTCTGAGTGGCAAAGGGATGGTGGTGGGGAGGAGCATAGCGGACAGGTGAGCACTGAGCTGACGCGCATAGGTGGAATGCGGTATCAAGATGTGCAGTACAATCTGCTGTTAGCAAGGCTGGTGGTGCGGGCACCACAGCTACAGCCACTGTCAGGCGGACACAGGCTGGCGTTTCTGAGTGCCAAGGCGATGGTGGTGGGGAGGAGCATAGCAGACAGGTGAGCACTGAGCTGAGTGGGATACGGTATGAAGGTTTGCAGTAAGGTTTGGTGCTACACAGGGTGGTGGTGAGGGCACCACTGCCACAGTCAGGCGGACACAGGGTGGCGTTTCTGAGTGCCAAGGAGATGGTGGTGGGGAGGAGCATAGCGGACAGGTGAACAAAAACACACCAGTCCTCTTACCTCTCTCCTCCCCTCTAGTCCACTTGAGGCACCTAAAGAATTCCCTCCAACCCTAAACTCTAAACCCTTTCCTCTCCTGTCCACTCCTTCACCCCCCTCATCATACCCCTCATCCATTTCCCACCCTCCATCCATTTCCCACCCTCCATCCATTTCCCACCCTCCATCCATTTCCCACCCTCCATCCATTTCCCACCCTCCATCCATTTCCCACCCTCCATCCATTTCCCACCCTCCATCCATTTCCCACCCTCCATCCATTTCCCACCCTCCATCCATTTCCCACCCTCCATCCATTTCCCACCCTCCATCCATTTCCCACACCCCATACATTTCCCACACCCCATCCATTTCCCACACCCCATCCATTTCCCACACCCCATACATTTCCCACACCCCATACATTTCCCACACCCCATCCTTTGTTCTCCTCTCCCCTCCCCTCTCTCCTGTATCCCTTCCAATGCTCTCCTCTCCCCTCCCCTCTCTCCTGTATCCCTTCCATCGCTCTCCTCTCCCCTCCCCTTTCTCTTCCTATATTCCTTCCAGTGCTCTCCTCTCTCCCCTCCCTTCTCTCCTCCCTGATTCCGCCCTCTGCATTCCACTCATATGTGCGCTTACCATTTGTTACTTCCACCCTTCACCAGTGTCTCACAAGCTTCTTAATTCCATCCAGGCATCAAATTTACATGATAAGCATAGAGGATTGAGCCATCTCTCAATGGAACCTCAAGCATTGAGCATTGAGGTTACCTCACACTCGTTCTCCCTGTCCCTTCATCCATCCCCTTGCCCCCCCAACCCTGCACCATTTTCTCGCAGGCATCTTGTAGAGCAGCTACTGTCAGGGACTCAGGGAAGCACAATTTACTGACATACCTCACCCTGTACAGCCGTGAATGATCCTACAGCATGCACGTATATATCTTATACAAAGTACAATATCAAATACCTTAGTGTACTCTATGGACTGGTCAAAATACTGATTATGTCGGCTAAATGGGGAAACTTGGCCACCAGATCTGCCCTAATAGCCAACTCGAAATCTGCAAACTCAAAAGCAGGTGCTACAGTGCATCCAACCAGACTGTACTGCGTATCTGCTGAACCCGCATCTCGAGCCGTCCGTTTCAGCGCAGCATCGAAATCAAGGGTGGGGAACGCCCCGAACCAGACGTTGGGTTTGATGATGTGGTGAAAGAATTGGCCTGCCGCTAGGTCTGGGCCGATGGTGGTCTTACGAATCGACCCATCATCTTCTATCTCAACAATCTGGAAGGAAATGGGGGAGAGGTAGGGAGGGACAAAGAAGGGAGGGACCAGATGCTGGGTTTGATGATGTGGTGAAAGAATTGGCCTGCCGCTAGGTCTGGCCCAATGGTGGTCTTACGAATCGACCCATCATCTTCTATCTCAACAATCTGGAAGGAAATGGGGGAGAGGTAGGGAGGGACCAAACGTTTGGCTTGATGATGTGATAAAAGGATTGGCCAGCTGCTAGGTCTGGGCTGATGGTGGTCTTGCGGATCGACCCATCGTCCTCGATTTCAACAATTTGGAGAGAACAGGGAAAGAAGAGAGGGAAAGAAATGCAAGACGGAAGCGGGCATGGGGTGAGAAAGAGGGGAGAAAGGTGAAAGCGAGCAGGTTAGCTGCTACGGTGTGGGTCGATGATAGTCTTGCGGATCGACCCATCATCCTCAATTCCAACAATCTGGAGGAAACTGGAGAAATTGGCCCATGGCCGAATCCTTCTTTACTCTGTAGGAAACCAGTTTTCATGGTGCGGAGGAAAGGGGGAAGAGAGACTGGAAGAAGGAAGTTTGAGTCGACTCACAAATGACAGGAGGGGAAGAGGGGGAGAAGGAAGGAGAGGAAGAGACGCGGAGAGGATAGGAGGAGATGAGGTGACCGAAGGAGCAGAGTGGGGGAGCGGAGGAGAGCAGGAAAGAACGGGATGAAAAGGGGAGAGGAGGGGAGGAGAGAAGTAGAAGACGAGAGGAGAGGGGTAGAGGGGAGTAGAAGATGGGGAGAGGAGGGAAATCAGTTGTGAGTGGATCGCTGGCGTTGTGGTGAAAGATTGGATGTTACGAATCGGCGGAGGTAGGAGGAGAGCTGAGTTGGACTGGAAAGCGCAAGAGCTCTGTGCCTCCCACTGTTTCGTTGCTTCTTGACGCGTCCTGGGTCTCTCGTCTCTCTTCTGTTTGCCTTCCCTCTATTACCTTGCAAAAAAAAACCGCGAAGCGAACCTCCCATGGGGGAGGGGAGGGGAAGCAACCGTGAGTGGGTCGCCGACCTAGTGGTGAAATAATAGACGATGGGAATTGAGTGCTGGAAGGAGCAGAGGGGAGGAAAGGAGGAGAGGAGAGGAGGGGAGGAGAGGAGAGGAGGAGAGAAGGATATGACTAACCGTGAGTGGGTCGCCGGCATAGTGGTGAAATATTTCGGAGGAGGGCATGCGATGGAGGTGAGACACGCTGCCTGTGGGCAGAAGAAAATAAATGCAGGTGCTGACCGGCCTGCCCACCTTGACTGCACAATGGAGCAAATGGGATAGGGAGAGGAGAAAAATAGGGGAGGGGTGGGGAGATGGGGAGATGCGAGGCAGTGTGATGCCAGTGCAAAATGCGAGAGTGAGGGTGAGCGCATTATGCTGAATATATGTGTCACTACTTGCAAAAAACACCCTCCTTTCTCACTACTTGCAAATCGTACCCTCCATTTGAAACGAGCGGGTTGCCACAACGTCACGAATTTCGCCTTTGGACTGTCCGATGTCTGAGTTACCCAACGACAATGCTAACCAGTCTACAGTGTTAGAATGTTACATCCTTCGCACGGAGACAGGTTCTCAAGGGATAAGAGCACCCGCGTGTCTCTGATCGCACAAACGCATTCCTAAATAATTGTTACAGTGTTGCTACCACCTCGTTAACTCTTACATCCTTCGCCCGTAGGCAGGCTCTCCAAGGATAGCTGCATCTGCGTGTCGCGGAACATCATTTCGATATCAATGTTACCGTGCTACCACCTCGCTCATCTTACATCCTTCGCCCGGAGGCAGATTCTCCAGGGATAATTGCACGCGCGTGTCGCGGAACGTCTCCGCTTAAAACATCTTCGAAATTAATGTTACAGTGTTACCACCTCGCTATCTCTTACATCCTTCGCCCGGAGGCAGATTCTCCAGGGATAATTGCACACGCGTGTCGCGGAACGTCTCCGCGTAAAACGTCTTCGAAATCAATGTTACAAAGTTACCACCTCGTTATCTCTTACATCCTTCGCCCGGAGGCATGTTCTCCAGGGATAGCTGCACGCGCGTGTCGCGGAAAGTCTCCGCGTAAAACCCTCCCTCCGGGTGCGGCTGTAGGTTCAGTCGGGTTACCACCTCGCCGACTGGCAGCAGCTTCGCCGACATGATTCTCGGCTCGCGCAAATAATCACTCGCAGATCGGATACTCAAGCCAAAAAAAATAACAGCAAGTGCGAGTTCCCGTCCGAGGGCCAGAGAGGAGCGAGATGTTGTGAGGGATACAGCAAGGAGTAATGACTAAATGCAATTCTGATTTCCGTTTTGGGAACTTGGGATCTGTTTTGTGGATGGAGCGAGAGGGAATGACGAAGCGCCGTGCTTTCTCATCTTCAATTCCAACGGGCAGTGGTTTTTACAGGCCTCCTGCCACGCGATCGCGCCCGATTCCCGTGGTCAGTTTTCGCCACAACACCGAATTCTCTACACTTTCTTGGTTTTCGTGGGCAGGTCCAAACATCTCGTAAATGTTGCACACAATCATTACGACTTTGTCTTTATTGGTGCGCTGTAAAACACAGCTGTTCATGTTTCCACGAGTCTTCTGCAGTTTCATTCGACACCCATCAATGTCAGGTTCCAGTCAATAAGGGCGTGACACCTTGGACTAAACTTGGCTGGTTAAGCACCGTTGCATGCACGTGCGCATCGTCCTTGCTTCACGACTTCTCCCACGTCAACGTCTCCATTTCCTTGCACGCAGTCTCCATTTCCTCCGTGGGTCTCTCGTGGACCAAGGGTTTTGACATCATTGAGTAGCGACTCATTTGTTCTCTCATTTTCACCTCTACTTGTCTTCCTCCTCTCATTTTCACCTCTACTCATTATTATAGCATCCTCCTCTCCGCCTTTTCCAAACCAGCCGCAGTTCATAAAAGTTCACGTAAAGTTCACGTAGTGCTTATTAGGTTAGCTCACGATGACGCCTCCTAGGCATTCTACACGCCTCAAGACCCAAAAAGCCGTAGGTAATCAGACAGCCGTTACGCGAGGGAAACGATCAACCAGGGGCAAGCAGGACGCGAGCGATATTGTGCCGGCTCCGAGCCCAGAATTTAAGGTCCCGGTTATATTAGAAGGCGTAGATGTGCTGCCGGAGCCCGACGACATAATATCCAGGTTCGCGAAGGGTGTCAAAGTTCCTGACAGCGTGAACGATAAAATTCCTAGGTCTGTTAAGAGTAACCATTTTCCAACTCATGAGTTAAAAAATCATCACGGCCAAAGAGCGAAGGTGACAATCATGGATGCCCTCCACATACAGGATGGTTACGAGCTATCGACCTCAATTATCGACTTTCACAACTTGTAAGTCCTGATACGCGGTTTACTAGTATTACGTACTCATCGCCTTCATTTTAATTGTCATTCGTGTTCGTATCGTTTCAGGGTGTTGAGCCTTCTTTACAAGGAGCTTCCAGACGGAAAAACGTGGTTGGCGCTTGACACGCTCGCCTTCCAAACCGTCACCGGGGGACAGGAGCTTGCATGCGGAGTCGACTGCA